AGGCTTAAACCAAGACAGATAATAATGGATGTTCTGTTTTGTTTTTTCCAGTACTGGGGACTGAACCCAGGGCCTCTCACAGTGCTAGGCAAGTGCCCTACCACTGGGCCACATCCCCAGCCCACAGCTGGGTATTCTCAAGTACTGAGTAAGGAAGAATACAAAGGGGACCAGAGACTATCTCTTTGAACCATTTTCATTCTCTTTGGGTCCTCCAAATCTGTCTCACTCTTTGTTATTAAACACTCAAAGGTAGGCCTCATCTGAACAATGTGATTATTTTTTTATTTTATTTTGAACAGGATTCTCAAACACTCATTCACAGCCAAAGCTAGTAACCATTAAAGGTCAAGCAGAAAGAAACTTTCACTCATGCAAAATAAGGGTAACCACAAGGTGATAACCTTGATGTGGCTCAGAATCTTTTCTTCCTAGGCAGATCCAGAGCACAGTTCTTTCTGAGTTCAGGTAGTGTTTGTTCATATTCTAAGAGTGTGCAGAGCCTCCTGACATGATTATCTTTGAAGGCAGCACTTGGTTGGATAGATGTGTTTCTGTAGGTTTCAGTGTTAAAGTCATATTGCTTTATAAGTGACCTCTTATGTTCTAACATGGAACAGGAGGCAAAGCATTGTGGAAGTGGAGATAGGAAAATTGTTCCATGAGCTTTACTTAAGATAGGGAATCACTGATTTTTAATAATATAAAGCATGAGATAGTGGTGGTGAGCAGAGGACTATCTTCACTCATCTCCCAGCAACCCAGTAAGGTGGCTCAGAGAAGGATGGAATGTGCTCTGAGGGACCCTATGATTATGAAAGACTTCCAGGAGAACTAGTACCTCCTCCATGTCACCCCAATGGTGCCTACCATATAGTAAATAGTGTTGTGCCAAAGGAACCATCACTGCTAGACAAACCTGGTGAAGGAAGCTAAGTAGACATTACAGTCATGCTGACTACTGAGTAATGATGAGGGTCACAGGTTTTCTCATGATCAAAGAAGTCGTCCATCTCACAGAGGAGATGAAACTGGCTATATGTGGAGATGAGCACTATGTTGAAAAACCCAAGCCTTTCACTATAGAATATGATACTTGTTAAAATTTTGGAAACTTTTTTAGAAGGTTCAATGCTCAGTCAAAAAATAAAATGAAAATGTTTCTAGATTTCCCCCCTCCCCAATTGTTTAAATCCTTAATATATGGAATTTTTGTAATAAAGAGAAATATTTTATGCTAGCTTACCACATTTCCAGTATCAAATAAGCATTGAAAACAGTCTGTATAAAATATTTAAATTAGAAGTTTCTTTTTTGGATTTTCTTTGTTTATGAGTTTTTTTTGGGGGAGGGGATGGATTCATGTAGAGCCTAATCTATACCCTATACCCATCTCTCATCCTCAGCCTCCACCCAAATGATGGTTAATTAAATTTTTAAGCTTAGACAAAGCAGTCCTAGGACTGCTTTGGGTGCAGTTCTCTGTAATTCTATCCCATAGTCTTCCACTTGGTCACATGAGTGTAATTTACAGATTAGAGATCATTTCACTCAAACATTACTAGTCTTTTTGCATTTCATAGTGAAGATACCATGTGGAAAAGTTGGAATGCTGAGTTGTAGTTTTATTGACTTGTGCTTGGTTTCCTTAGGCTTTGTAACTTTCCATGTCAATGTGTTCTATCCTGAGTACTTAAGTATCTTAGAGAAGATTTGTTTTGAGAATATGTCTCAATGAAAAAATAGAGACACCTTAGAATAAAATCTTTCTTTCCAAGTAAATAAATTCAATGTGTCTCTTCCAAAATGCTACTGAAACTTTTGCCTATTCTTACTGCTGGGTAGTCTTCAACAGTATCAGATACAAGACTAAGAGAAGGGGCGATTTTAGATGGACAATAAGGGATATCTTTTAGCGGAGATTTTTCAAAAACCCTTCAGATCAGGAAACATTTTCCTACAGGAAACATTTAAAATATACAGGAGAACAGTAGTTTTATTTATTCTAAGGTGCATACTACCTGTCTCGAAAAAGATTGATTGATAACGGGCTCATGATTAACCCATTTGCAGAATTATTCTTTTGTTAATCTTTGTAATCTGATGAGTTTTTTGTACTGCTGATTGTTAGAGGTTCTTTGACCTACAAAAGAAGTCTTTTTAAAAATTTTTTTTTTAAATTTATTATTTTATTTATACATGACAGTAGAATGTATTTTGACATATCATACATGCATGGAGTATAACTCCCCACTTGTTTGGTTTTACATGATGTGAAATTACACTGGTCATTTATTCAGATGTGAACATAGAAAAGTTATGTCCAATACATTCTACTGTCTTTCCCATTCCCGTTCCCCCTCCCCTCCCTCCATTCCCTCCTGTCAAGACAGGTGAGCATCACCCCACCCCCTGCCACCACCCCTCATTGTCAGTCACATCCACATATCAGAGATATCAGAGAGAACATTAGGCCTTTGATTTTTGGCTTGTTTCACTTAGCATGAGAGTCTCCAGTTCCATTCAAGAGAAATCTTGAAAGAAAGAAGAACAGGCAGTAAGCCCCCCACAGCCAGCCTTACCAAGCCAGGCTGGGTCATCAGCCCTTCATTAGTGGACCATTCAAATCACAGGTTAGTTGAAAACCTAACAGGGACCCATTAGGACACTCTATTCATTTTTATGGTCACTTCCAGTAGCCCAATGCCATTGAGCTAAAATATATAATCTGGTAATATTTGCGAGGAAACCTTAAAAATCATATTTGTTGTGGGGCTGGGGATATGGCTCAAGCGTTAGTGCGCTCGCCTGGCATGCGTGCGGCCCAGGTTCGATCCTCAGCACCACATACCAACAAAGATGTTGTGTCCGCTGATAAAATAAATAAATATTAAAATTCTCTCTCTCTCCCTCTCTCACTCTCTCTTTAAAAAAAAGAATAAAAAATCATATTTTTTGTTACTAGACAATTTCATTATCTTCCCACCCTCCTTCCTTTTCTCCTCTATTCTCACTTTAATTTTGGTATTCTTTTTAGATTTTAGAGTTACCCCAGAGTACATCAAGGATATGCTAAAAGTAGAAATAGCAGTGTGAATAATTTTAATGATTTCTATCATCAACATCGATGCCTCAAAGTATATATTATGCCATTCCTCAAATTTAAAAACGAATTGAGCCAGGCATGGTGGCACATACCTGTCATCCCAGATCCTTGGGAGGCTGAGGCAAGAAGATCACAAGTTAAAGCCAGCCTCAGCAACTTAGCAAGACTGTGTCTCAAATTAAGAAAATTAAAAGAGTTGGGGATGTGGCTCAGTGGTTAATTGCCCGTTGCCCATGGATTCAATCCTAGATACCAAGACACACACACACACACACAAAAAAAAAAAAAAAAAAGAAAGAAAGAAAGAAAGAAAAAGAAAAAAACTAATTGAGGGAAACATTTACTTTTTTAAGTTTCTCAAGAGAGTCTATGTTGAATTTTTATTTTTGCCATTGAGATATTGTACATGACTAACTTATAAAACATAAGTAATGTGAAATCCCACATATTATCTTTCATATTCTTCCTTAATGTGAATAGTGATTGATTTGTTAGAATCTTAGGAACACTAAGAAAATACTGATATCATTTCCCCTTATCCTCAGTGTTATACTTTTTCCTAAATATTGAGTCCCAGGACTCAGTTTCTTTAGTCAAGATTTCACAGGTGTGAAGACATAAACTACAAGAGGCAAAAGACTTGTCCACCCTATTGAAATTCATTAAAAAAAAAACTCTTGGGGCTGGGGCTGTAGCTCAGTGGCAGAGCACTTGCCTAGCAGGTGTGAAGTACAAGGTTCAATGCTTAGCACCACATAAAAATAAACAAATAAAATAAAGGCATGAGTCCATTAACAACCTCAAAAAAGAAAAAAGAAGAAAGAAAGAAAACTCTTACTAACAGATACATTTAAATACACATTCAACAAGTAATTTCTTCATCTCCTTTACCTAAGTTACATTCAACATTTAAAGCTCTTTCTCCCTTGCCATCAGCATTATTTCCTAGGCTTGTCAGTGTTAAGTTAGAGGTTTTTTTTTTTCCTTTTCTTTAATGACTTTTTAAAGTCCAATTATAGGATGAATTCAGATGTGTACCAGAGTATGTATTTTGTTAAATGTTCCGGATGAAGGAGATTTGTTTGTAAATTATCCATTGTTTTCCAGTATAGCTGACGGATGTGATAGAATTTTCATTTTCTTACCATGAGGCCTTGATCGTCGACATTAGGAAAGCAGATATTGTAGAGCTTTTTGTGATATTAAATGTGCAGTTTAAAGCAATCAAGTTTAAATTTAAAATATGTGTGTGTGTTTGTGTGTGTGTGTGTGTGTGTGTGTGTGTGAGAGAGAGAGAGAGAGAGAGAGAGAGAGAGATATAGGATATATATATATATATATATATATATATATATATATATGCCTTATAATAGTAATAAAAAATACCACAGGAAACTGAGTGAGCAACATGGCATCGTGCTATATAACCATTAAGGTGACAGGTACATGGGTCATGTCCATTTTGTGAAAATTTTAAGTGGAAAAGATCATTACAAATAGTGAAAGCAAACAAAACAATTGAGTAAAAATAAAAATAAAAAACTACAACTGATGTTAAGTTGTACAAAATAGTCATTATCTTTTCTTTATAGTTGTTCAAATTCATAGTGAAATTGAATTTCCTGTTTTGGAAACAATGGTACTTTCCCAATTCTTCCTGAGCCAAGACTTTAAACAATATCCTGAATTATTTTCCTATAGATTAATTCTCAGAACATCACAATATCTTTCCTCAAACATTAAAAAAAAATTAAACAGAGATAAAATCACCAGGTAGTTCCTGTTCAACACACAGCTCCATGGGTGTAGCCCCCCCACCACTAGAGGAAGAAGGAAGTTCTAAGATGTTAAATACTGGGACCAGCTTCCCTAGCTCAGCCTAGTGGTCTGACTTTCCAGTCAACATGAAGGCTTTTCTGATTCTGGGGCTTCTTCTCCTTTCTGTCACAGTCCAGGGCAAGGTCTATGGAAGGTGTGAGTTGGCCAGAACTCTAAAAAGACTTGGAATGGATGGCTACCGCGGAATCAGCTTGGCAAACTGTAAGTTGGGTCTTCCTCTTTGTTTTTACAATAGTTGAAAACATCATTTTGGTCCTCTAGAATTAGAGATACCAGGTGAAGGGATGTGGGCATGGGAGGGAAAGATTCTATACCATTCTGAGTCTAACAGGACCTGATGTCCTCTGCTAGTGCCACTAGGTGGGCAGTTGCCTCAGATTCAATGCCCCACATACACTGAAGGACCTGTTTGGAACTCAGGTTCTCAGCCTAGAGTGACACAATTCTTTTTCTATTCTTTTCTTAAATTCCTCTGCCATGCCAGCCACAGTGACACATGTGTACTCCCAGTAACTCTGGAGTCTGAGGCAGGAGTATCTCAAGTTTGAGGCCAGCCTAAGGACTTTAGCGAGACCTTGTCTCTAAAACCCAGCAGGCTGAGGATGTAACTCAATGGTAGAGCACCCCTGGGTTCAATCCCACAAAAGCTAACAAAACAAAACCCTTGCTATGACAGGGTATGTTTCACAGCAAAATACTATAAAATTAAGTTGAATTCTCCAAAAAGGCCCTAGAAACCCATTCCCCACCCCATTCACTATTTATATAAAGATCCTTAAAATTCAGCATGAAATGCTTCATTATTCATTCTAGGTTGATTAATTTTCAATTTCTTCCACAACATTCAAAATGTGCCATGAGGAAAAGTTACTTTACAGCATACTTCATATGCTCCAATATCAGTACTTTTCAGATTGACCCCAAACATTTCCCCTTCCACAGCTATTTGTAAATGAATGAGCAAGTAGGTACATGAATGGGTGGTTGAACAAAATCACAGAATAGCCTTTCCTATTCCATAATTCTTGGTTTCAAGATTCAAACTTAACATCCAAATTCACCTTTAGGTATTACAAGAAAATCTCTCTCAGAAAAATCCTTAATTGTTTCTAATAAAGCATCTTCCCATCAGTCTATGGATCTGCTATGAATTTGTACAACTTTCTCAACAGCTCCATTTTCTCTTCTAGGATCAATGTTATCTGAGAGATGAGAACAGGGGAAGGTAAAAGCAGTGGAAAAACAGCAACTTAAATCTTTTTTTAAAATTCCTTATCTTGCTTCACATTCTTATAAACTGATTTGTGCTACAAAAGGATACTCCTAGGGACCCTCTGTAACAAAGGTGTTGAAGCAGGCAGGCCTGGTGGCTCAGATCTGTAGTCCCAGCTACTTGGGGAGCTGAGGTGGGAGGATCACTTGAGCCCAGGAGACCACCCTGGGAACTCAGTGAGACCCTGTCTCAAACAACAAAACAACCCTAACGTGTTAAGATTTTTTATCAATTAAACACATCTTGTACTTACAAAGTAAGTTGCTAGTAAAATAGAATTGGCTACATAGAGTTGATTTGATACACAGTATAAATCATTTAGTGTTGCTATTTATTATAAAAAAAAAACAATTTCTTTTCAGGGGTGTGTTTGGCCAAATGGGAGAGTAGTTACAACACCAGAGCTACAAACTACAACCCTGGAAGCAGAAGTACTGACTATGGGATATTCCAGATCAATAGCCGCTACTGGTGTAATGATGGCAAAACCCCAAGAGCAGTTAATGCCTGTGGTATATCCTGCAGCGGTAAGACAAGATAATATTTGAGTGATGGCTCAAGAACTACCTGCATATATTTACAAGAACAGATGTTCAAGTGAATGAAATAGCCTTGAAGGATTTGTCAGGGAGTTAGAAAAAGTCCATCTCGGTGGTAGAGTGCCTGCTCATTTATTGTTAATGACCTTATTGATGCTATTCCACAACATTGCCATTCCATGTATCCACTTAAAATAGCTTAAGGATTATTTCATTGTGTGGTCCTTTTTTGATTGTTTTATGCTTTATTATTAAATATTCTAAATATGTAAAAAGCTAGGTTTTCATATAATGAATACCCAGATGACCATGCACTTTCAATAGTTATTCACATTTTTCCATAGATTTTACTTGTATGTATATGCAGATTTTGCTGAGAGATTTTAAAAGTGAATTAGAAACATTGATATTTTAATTTCTAAATCCTCTAGCTTGAATCTCCAAAATATACAATTCCTAAATAATCATTATCACACCTAAAACATTACCTTACGTATTTATGTACTTGGGATGAAACATTATGTTTTAATAAGAAAAAGAACTCACAAGGTGCATTATATATATAAGGTATGGGAGTACTAGACTCCTGAACTCATGAAAATAGAAATATCATGTGCAATTTTCAGTGCATATAATAGTGCATACATATTGCATATTTGATATTTTAAAAATTTTAAATGTTAAAATTCCAAAGTGTAGATCAGTTTTAAAATATTTTAACCTATCTGATTTGCTTTAAAATTACTCTGTATTATATAATAATCTATGGTCATTGAATAATATTTAGAAAATATAAGCAAGATGAAATAGCATCCACAGTCTTACTACCTAGAGATTTATAACCATGGATAACTTTTGGTATATACTCTTTCAGAATGTACATCAACATGTAAATTATATACATCAAATCAAAGTTATATCACACATATACATAGCCAGATACAAATGTTTTTATAAAAATTTAATTTATCCTGCTCTACAATTTGCATCACATAAAATTATTGCCATATCAACTCATACAAATCTATGTTATTATTATTATTGTTTGAAAGGGTAAAGAGAATTCCACTAATAATTTTTTTCCACTTTTCCTTTTTATAAATTGCTATAAATAGCTTCCTGATTACACATCATGTGAGGTTTTAATATATTTCTCTCTCTCTCTCTCTCTCTCTCTCTTTCTCTCTCTCTTTAAATTCTTTTTCATTTTTGTGCATTTTGCCACTGAGCCATATCCCCAGACTTCTTATTATTTCTTTGAGATAAATCATCAATGGTAGAATTCCTGAGTAAAAAATTCTGGGCTTGTCTTTTTTCACAGTGTACAAAGAAGACCTTTTGTTATATTAGATAATAATTGAGGGCCTCCAACAATTTAGAAATTGAGAAACAATGTGCTATTTCATGTCAACAAGGAAAATAATTAAAAGGAAGTTTTTCACAACAATCCCCAATATATAAATTCTTGGAAAAGAACTTCTTGGTTTGCTTCCTCTACCTAACATAATAAAACTGAATAAGGGTAAACTTCCAATGAAATTGCTAGAACATCCTTTTCATGCCTCACCACCTCTCTTCCAGCTCTGTTGCAAGATGACATCTCTCAAGCTGTAGCTTGTGCAAAGAGGGTTGTCCGTGACCCACAAGGCATTAGAGCATGGTATGTTTTAAGGTTTGAAAGGGGAAACTGTTTTACTCTGCAGTGAGAGAAAAAATTCAGAGACTTAAGTGCCATTCTGAATGTAAAGTTGCCCTTTGGGGCCTAAGGGACACAATGTATTACCTCCATCAGAAGAGACAATCTGCTTGAACTGATTCACAGTCTTGCCCGTTTACTCCTCCGTGGATTTAAGGGATTTCTAGAGTTTTAAATATTCTCCACCGTATACTAGTTCTTTATCATATCTTTTTTTTTTAGGGGTGGGGGAGTGGGAGGTTTGTATAAGGGATAGAACTAGGGACACTTAACCACAGCCCCAGTCCTTTTTTATTTTTTATTTGGAGACAGGACCTCACTAAATTGCGAAGGTTGGCTTTGAACTTGCAGTCCTCCTGCCTCAGCCTCCTGAGCAGCTATGATTACAGGCATGCACCCCATGTTGATCTCCTTGTCATATTTGAAACAATTTGTGGAATAAGTAAATGGGCCATGCACATAACTCAACATTTGTGTTCAGCATTCTGTGCCCTATGGAGGCCTCTGAGGAGGAGCAAAGCACCTTGTATACTCATCTCCACTTAATCAGTAGCAGTACCTGGATCTAATTGTAGCCTGAATGATATTTATGGATACGATCTTTTGCTCCCACAAAAAGAATTGAGTATGTACACGACAATGCAGATATGTTTTAACCTTTGCTGTGTGTTTCCCTTTTCTCTGCAGGGTGGCATGGAGAAATCGTTGTCAAAATCGCAACCTCTCTCAGTACATTCAGGGCTGTGGAGTGTAACTGCAAAATTTTCCTTCCTTCTTCAGCTCATTTTGTCTTCACCATAATAAGGGAGTTGTATTTAATTGAAAGTTCACACTACCATTGTTTCCCCTTCAAACAAATAGCATTTTTACAGTAGCAAGAGCAAAATATAACCTTTCTCATAATAGCCATAATATTTACTAATGTGTCTATAATTTGGTAGTGAACCCCCATTTTCAGCTTGCTAATAAAGCTAATGCTGGTGAAAATTTATCTGCAAACTTGATTATCCAATACATCACCAGTACAGTTTTTCGTTAATGAAATACTAGTATTTCCCGGTACTATATAAAAGTATAACAAAAGGCCATCTTAAAATCAATTGATCTTAGGCAAAATCCAAGCTGTGTAGGCATCCAATGCCTCCCATGCACATACTCATGCACATTCTCATATCAAAAATATGAAAAATAAACACTCTGTTGACAGCATATAATTTTTTAAAGGAATGGAGTGCCAAATGGCTTAGATGGATACTGACTGAATTAAGAATTTTGTTCGCACAAAGTTTACGGCCTTTCGTTTAAGTATTTTCTTGAAATATTGCATTTATACAGCAAAGAGACTCACAATTTATATATCAATCTTTTTTAAAGGGCACTTAGGTGCATCTTGCTGACTGTAGAAACATTATGAGGGATTAAATGGGCTATTGCTGTTCCCCAATTTTATTGCTTGCATTACTGAATTAACCACAGGAGTGAAATTATGCATATGTAAAAATTACAAATGTTATCATTAAATGGTTGCATTTCTTCCTTGTGTGTCTTTGTTTAGACCTATGTAGTGTCTCAAGAAAAAAATTACACATATTTGAAAAAGATAAAAGACTTAAATTTCTTCTATATTCTCACCTGCACTTAAATAGCTGGCTATTGCTGAAGGAAAATCCACAAATTCTACAAAGAACAAGTAGGCTAATAAATCTCACTTTAAATTCATAACCATGAATCTCATATGTACCTCAAGTCAGCATGGCCATCCAAGTCACTTCTCTGGACTCCTTTTGTGGTGTTGTCTCCCTCTCTAAAATGATTATGATTATTTCACTTCTCCCATTCTTTGTTGAGAGCCCCAACACACACATCTGACACCCTCTCTGTTCTCTAACCTTCCACCATCCTCTGCTTTTAGCAGATAATCTTTGCTTATATATACCATTTAAAAAAAAAAAAAGCCATTTCAAAGAAGCACTACAAGGTTCTCTCCCTGTCCCAAAGCAGCAGTCACACCTTCCCCTCACTGACCCTTCCTCCCTTTGCCCCTCCCCACTGTTTCTGGGATGAAGGGCCTTTGCTCCTGGCAAAGGCAGCATCTCCACATGCAGTCTCTGTCCTATCTCTAGCGACAGATATTCCAAGCTAAGCTGAGTTTCTCCCTCTCTGCTCCATCACCTCCATTATTGTGCAAAGGGCCCCAGCATCCTCCCATCCTACAAAGAATATTCCAATGACCCTCCACCACCCTCCAAGTACAACCTCATCATGACTCTGCTGTCTCTATGGCAAGACTTCTAAGGGAGAAGCGTATCCCCACCTCTCTTTTCAGCGCTTTCCAATCTGGCTTCTGTCTCACTCAGCTACCTCTGCTGCCCTAGGACTTCTCTCCTGACTCCTGGGTGCAATTCCAGTGATCATCTGCTCTTCCTACTTGATCTCTCATCAGCATTTAGCTAAGTGAGCCACTTCATATCACCAGAAGCTTTTTCTCTCTCACCTTCTTGCTTACATCCCACTTCACGGGTTGTTCCTTCTCAGTTCCTCTTTCCCACTCTTTCCCTGCTATTTCATTTGTAAATTGTGAGTACTCCAGTGTTCAAACCAATAAACATTTGATACACTACAAATTTTCCTTATTCATATACAGTAGTCCCCCACTGTCCAGTATTTCACTCTCCATTGTTTCAGTTATCCACGGTCACCTATGAGCTAAAAATATTAAGGGGAAAGTTCCAGAAGTAAATAATTGATAAGTTTTGGTTGCATGCCATATGGAGTACTGTGATGAAATCTCCCACAGTTCTGCTCTGTCCTTCCTGGGACATGAATCATCCCTTTGTCCAGTGTACTTGCACTGTACATGCCTCTGCTCATTAGTCATTTATTATCCAACTGGGTTATCAAATTGACTGTGCTTAGTTACAACTTCCCCTTTATGGGTTTGAGGTTTGAGTAAGTCCTATTGCTTTACAAATGACCTCTAACATGGAAATGGGAGACAAGGCATTGTGAGAGTTGGGAAAGTTCACATGAATCTTATTTATGACAGCAATTCATTGATTTCTACCAATATAGGACTTACAGGTTAACAAAAACTAGAGAAGGAAACTGATGAGCAACATGTCATCATGCTATAAACCATTTAAGATGACAGATACATGCATCGTGTCTGTTTTGTGGAAAAGTGTAGATAAAATAATTTAAGTAAAAAAAATCAATACAAAATAGTTAAAGCACACAAAACAGTTCGATCAAAATGAATGTTACTCAAACACCATAGTTGAGATGGAAGCAGTGGTGGACACTGTTAGGTCGGTGGCAGAGACTTGGTGGTGACTTGGTGGCGACTTAGTGGCAACTTAGAACAAAGCAGCCGGCACAGGAAAAGAACATCAATCAGATGCCGGTGGAAACGCCTGTCAATCAGCCAGATCTCCTGACGCCTGTCAATCAACAGGACCCCCCTGGCCAATCCTGGAGTTCAGCCAACTCCCCTGACCAACTACAAGGGAGCAAGGGACCCTAGAAACACCTGTCCCAAGCCCTTCCCTTCCTGCTGTAAGTCCCATAAAAGTCCAGTCCAGTCGAGCTTCCACGCGGTTTCTCCTCAGACCCTTCTCCTGTCCTCTCTGTGGGTCTGATCCAGTTCTGCCCGGGAGTGATATCTCAATAAAGTCTGTTCAGCAGGTCCTTTTAAATCTGCCTCCTTTGGCCATTGCCTGCCCCGACTGATCTGACAGACACCTGTAATATCAGTGACTCCGGAAGCTGAGATAGGATTGAGGGTTCAAAGCCAACTTCAGCAACAGCAAGGAACTAAGCAACTCAGTGAGATCCTGTCTCTAAATAAAATACAAAATAGAGCTGGGAATGTGGCTCAGTGTTTGAGCACCCTTGAGTTCAATCCCCAGTTCTCCCTGCCTTCTCCCATCAAAAAAAGGCATTTGGGACTGAGTTGCCAATATTATACCCAATGGCCCTAAATACTTCAGTGTGTAATTTCCACGAAGACTTTCTATTAGGGGTGCTGGTGCAAATATCCACGAGAGACAGACTTCTGAGTCAAGAAAAGGTTTATTGACAGAGAATATCTTCCAGCCTGCCCTTCTGCAAGGCTCAGCAACCTGCTGGAAAAACTTCTTAACTATATAGTCATGTACAATGGAGTAGTTAAAAAATAGCCCATCTAGTGCTATGATTATTAGTTGGTTTCTTATTGTGGTTTTGGTAGTTAGGGACTTACTAGGGGCAGGCCTAACGGGAAGGTCATGCCTGGGTGGGCAAGTGCTGATTTTCAAAATGGCATTACTTTGGCCTAAGGACCTAAAATTTTCTCCTACATAACCTCAAAATAACCAGCCTTATTAGGAAATTAACACTAATACAATACTACTCTAATAATCAGATCCCATTTTATTTCACCAATAAAGGAACTTTATAGTAGTGAAACCACAGATGTTGAGAATCAATCAGGGCAGAGTTCTGTTTCCCCAGATGTGAAGACTGAACACCCGAGAAACACATAGGCAAGCAGAGAAAACAAGTTTTATTTAAAGGATACAACAGAAACCAACTTCTCCACAGAGAAGGGTCCCCAGAGCTGAAAATCCAAAGAAGTGAGAGTGTCTTGACCCTTTTCTACATTTTAGAATTCCTTTATTCTCATGCCCTCCTTCCCCTTGCCTCGCTCCTCTCCCCATCTTGCATAGTGACCAGTGACCAGGAGATGAGCCAAAAGGCGAGAAGGAAGCCCTCCAGGGATGCCTCTCAGGGTCTACCCAAAGTGGACACCCAGGAGGTGCTTCATTAACAACCCTTTGAGAGGAATATTTCCCTGTAAGCAGGTTACCTTGGTAACGGGTTGAGGAGGAGGGGCTCTGGAGGTATTAGCATTTCAGTCTTCCGGAGGCAACCTACATCCTCCCAGACCCAAATCAGGTCCCAACAATGGACCCTATTATTTATTATTTAAATTAACTGACTTTTGTCCCACAGCTTCAGTAAAATAGTGACAGAAGCAAAGGCCCTTTACTCTCCCAATAAAGTACTTAAAAACAATAAGATCTAATTGAGAATCATCGGTTACATTTGGTTGTCATGGTTTTTTCTTCTCTCAATCTGCATAAGTTTTTCAGTTGTCATTTTTTTTCTTGACTTTTATGTCTGAAAGCAAATGAAAAAGTAAAAGCAATGGAGACAGACCGTGACAGATTGTTGTAGGAAAGCTGGACACTGAGGAATTAGCAGGAAGCAGGTTTATCAGCTGCAGCCAGGTCCAGATGTTACTGCTGTTTACCTGTGAGTCCTTACTTCCCCCCCATGCTGAAGTATAACATCAAAGAAGCACGGCGAGACAAGTTTAGAGTGGAAAGTAAAAGCTTTATTAAAGGTCGGTAGAAAAGACTTCTCCCTGCAGGAAAAAGGGGACCCAAGAGGTGGAATCCGTGGAAGGGAGAGGTCTTCCCTCTTTTATAGCTAAGGCCTTCTCTCAGCTTTCCTGCATTCCTGTCGCATTTCTGTCCTTAGTTCTGTTATCTTGCAGTGAGGGAATGTAGGTGGGGAAGCCCCAAAGGATGGGGGACAGGTGGGCCAAAAGAGTAATCTGGGCAGGAAGGACTTTTGGGTTAGCATCTCCAGGTTTGCTGGGAGCTGTTTCATTAACATTTCCTTGGGATGGGCTCTGGGCCTTGGGGACATTTTCAAATCCCCTTTTCCTGAACTCCATTCTCAATATGGCCTTCATTCTTGATAGTAGAC